AAAAAAAAAAAAAAATTATAGCCACAGGCCAGGTGCAGTGGCTCATGCCTGTAACCCCAGCACTTAGGGAGGCGGAGGTAGTGAAATGCCTGAGCCTAGGAATCTGAGACCAGCCCGGGCAATTCAGCGAGACCTTGTCTCTAATAAATCAAAAAAGTTAGCCAGGCATGGTGGCACATGGCTGTAGTTCCATATACTTGGAAGGCTGAGGCAGAAGGATTACCTGAACCCTGTAGATTTCCATGAGTGTACCATTGCACTCCAGCCTGAGTGACAGAGTGATAATTAAATAAATACATTTTTTTAAAACCACAATAGTGGATTTGAAGTGGTATTTCATGGTGGCTGATTCACATTTTCTTTTTTTTCTTTTTCTTTTTGAGTTGGAGTCTCACTCTGTTGCCCAGACAAGAGTGCAGTAGCCGCTCCCGGCCACCATAGCCTTGACCTGCTGGGCTCCGGCGATCCTTCTGCCTCAGCCTTCCATGTAGCTGGAACTACAGGCGCACACTACTATGCCCGGCTAATTTTTTTTTTTTATTTATTGAGGAGATGAGGTCTCGCCTGCCCAGGCGGGTCTTGAACCCGCGGGTTCAGGCAATCCACTCACCTCAGCCTCCCAAAGGCGCGGGATTACAGGGTGAGCCACCGAGCCTGGCCACATTTTCTTAATGATTAATGATGTTGAGCATCTTCTCATGTGTTTATTGGCAAGTTCCGTATCTTCTTTGGAGAAATGTCTATTCAAATCCTTTGCCCATTTTAAAGTCTGGTTCTCTTTTTATTGTTGAGTTATAGGAGTTCTCTGCAACCTCACAGGGAGATCCTACCAAGATTAAAGCCAACACAGAAGTAAGAGCCAACAGAGGGCAAGATTGAGCCATGATGACTTATTTTGACACCTTGTATCCATGCACACATAGCGTCAGACCTGCCTAGGTAGCCTTGGTCTTATCAACAAACACATTCTTGTGTCGAGGTTCCTCAAGGAGAATGGAGCTTTTCCCTCATCAGTTTTTCTGATCTATCCCCAGGCCTTACTTAACTACACTGTGGGGAATTTTATCTGGATGGGCCTGGTAGGAATGGGGATAAGGTGAGGGGAAGTAAAATGACACCTGGCACAACTATAAGTGCTACTCCTAAGCCCCATTAGGGTATTGGCAGAAATTTCAAATCACAGAGACCTTTGTATAACTTCATAGTCTTTATAAATACCACAATCTAAAAAATAAAGCAACAAAGTAAAAAATAACCAAGTCACCAGGGCAGATGGACTGAGTTTTTTTTTTAAGAGTCTCATTCTGTCACCAAACTGAAGTGCAGAGGCACAATCATGGTTTACCACAGCTTCAACCTCCTGGGCTTAGGCGATCCTTCCACCTCAACCTCTTAAGTAGCCGAGACTACAGGCATGTGTTACCATGCCCAGCTAATTTTAAAAATTTTTTGTAGAACAAGGTTTCACTATGTGGCCCAGGCTGATCTCCAACTCCTAGGCTCAAAGCAATCCTCCCGTTTTGGAGCTCCCAGAGTGCTGGGATTACAGGCATGAGTCACTGTGCCCAGCTAGATTAATGAGGATTTTAAAGTGCCCAGAGTAAAGCTGGGCACGATGGATCACATCTGTAATCCCAGCACTTTGGGAGGTGGAGGTAAGAGGATTGCCTGAATCCAGGGGTTTGAGACCAGCCTGGGCAACTTGGCAAGCCCTCTTCTCCTTAAAAAAATCAAAAAAATTAGCCAGGCATGGTTGTGTGCACCTTTGGTTCCAGCTACTTGGAAGGATGAACAAAAGGATAGCCTGAGTCAGGCTTCAATAGCTGTGATTATGCCACTGCACTCCAGCATGGACAACAAAGTGAGACTCTGACATAAACAAAGTGCCCAGAGTGGCTCGTTATGACTCTGTATACAGAGAATATAAAATCCCTGCATTAGGCATAAGCATGATTGCCACTTTTTAGTTGTGTAACTTGTTAACATTACATGCTTTGTAAAATCTGTTCCTGTTTTTGTCCCCAGGTGGCCAAGAAGGTTCAGTCAACATACCTTTAAAGATTAAGGATTATTCCCAGCACTTTGGAAGGCTAAGGCAAGAGGATTGCCTGAGCCCACAGGTCCGAGATCAGCCTGGGCAACATGGCAAGACATCACCTCTACAATAAAACAAAAAATAAGCCAGGCATGATGGTACACACCTGTGGTTCCAGCTACTAGGAAGGCTGAGGCAGAAGGATCACCTGAGCCCAGCAGGTCAAGGCTGGGGTGGATGTGAATATGCCACTGCACTCCAACCTGGGCAACAGAGCAAGACTCTAACTCAATAAATAAATAAATAAATAAATACTAAGTATTACTGAATGATCAAAGTAGATGAGTCCTAGCAGAGGCCTCCCCGCGTGGTTGTGAATGGGAGAGGTCTAGGAGCAGTGGGGATCATGCACCATAGAGCTGACACACAACTGTGTCCCATGTGGCTCTGGATCATGCATGAAGGACTTTAATCTCTTTGTATGTGAAGAAGAATGACACTGTGACAGGCAGGACAAAACCTAAATATGATTTCTGTCATCAGAGCTTCTGTATGCTAGTGAGTGCCCATAAGAGATGTGAAGTCACCATACTATGGAGATAAGTTAATTGTACTGCGAGAGTTCCAGAAAGTCTTTAAAGAAAAAGAAACATATCAAGAGGCAGAAACAGGACCTGTCAGCTCCATTTACTGAATACTTTCTGGGTACATTATATCCAAAAGAGGTAGAATGAAGGCAGATAAGAACTTGAAGAAATTAAATATACACATTAATTGTATCACTAATTCTTACTACTAGAGAAGTATAAAATTTGTACAAGCTATACTTTATGACATTTTGATGCCTGTCAAAAGGATAATAATAAGCTATACATATACTGCAATAAAAGTTTTTTAAAATTGTGCTTTACATTGTAGAATTTCCCTAAGATGGGTTGGTGAATGCCTGCCCAGCATCCATTCTTACACACAACTATTTTCCATCAAAGACTGCTCTACAGTATCAATGAGAAATCCATGGTCTACAAAAGCACATGCAGCTCCTCTAAGAAACCCACAGTAGTTGCATTAAAAGTCCGTTTCTCCATTAAAGACCACCTTATTTAGCTTACTACCAAGTTCTCTTCAGAGCTGTTTATATGTCTTTCGTCTGATCATCTTCTTCAAGTTTCCTGATTTCATTTTTTAAACAATTTATAGTTTCACGACTTGCTTTTAATCTCTCCTTAAGTTCTGCAATTTCAAAGCTTGTTTTTTTCTTGGCAGCTTCTAATTTTTCTCTGGTTTTCACTTCAAGTTCTGCAACTAAGGAAAACAAACACTTTTACCAAATTATTTGTCTCACATGTATAAGCTCTATCACAGAGTAAGAAATATGGCATTTCCTTAGGAAAATTTATCTATGATGAAATGCAAACAACTTAAGATACATAACATTAAACATGGGTGGGGGAGAGAGGAAAGAATGTCTGAATTCTCAAGAGAGGACAACTAAAAATGAAATCCTGGTCACTAACTGAGAGTTAAGACTTTACGACAAAATGTCCTTATTTTTCTCCATACACACATTAGGAGGGAAGTAAGGGGGCAAACAAACCCAAGAGACATCAGCTAATAAGAGGAGTAACTAAAAGTATTCTAAATTGATGTAAAGGTGAAAATTCTATGAACAGAATCACATTATCAAAACAAGCTCACATATATCTTTTTTTTCAAAAAGGTAGCAATAACTGCCTAAGTTTGAATTCCACCTCTATCCTTATTAACTGCAACACTCTAGCTATTTCACCTATGTTCATTTTTCTCACTTATAAAAGAGTGATTACAATGGCGTACACACACACTTCATAGTATAATTTGTTGAGAAGATTTTTTTGGGGGTTTTTTTTTTTTTGAGTTGGAGTCTCACTCTGTTGCCCAGACTGGAGTGCAGTGGC